CTATATTTCTCTTTCCTGTTCCATCGGTAAAAGGCCAGATCTTGTACTTTTGCAGCAGCAACACCGTCGATGTGATGAAGAGGATCAGCGAAATGATAAAAAGCAAAACCACCAGCCAGTTGGAAGAGCTTCCACCTTCGGTAGATCTCTCTTGAAGAACGGTGACGATGACGGTCACTGGAGGGACAGCTGATGGAGCCGGAGAAGACGGTCGTTGCGTTGTTGAGGTCGTCGTTTCATTTGCATCTTGCCTTGTAAGTGAAAGATAGCAAAGTCTGCTAACGACAAGAAGCCAAAAGTGAAAGACCGCCATCACAGTCACAAACAAACAACCAGTGAAATAGCATTTCTGGACACAGACTGACTAGAAAGGCATTGTCGCCTTTATTGTTGTCCCATTTCCGGTATTTTTGTTCGAGGACCAATTGTTGATCGACACCTTTACCTGGTTCTGTTGATGCGGCGTAGATGATGGTCTGGTCGCCGTTCACTCCGTTGCAAGAAAAAACGTAAACAATGCCAGTGAGCATGCGCGGCGAAGAATAACTCGATTGCGTCAAACGTAGCGAGAGTGCTTCAAGGCTTCAAAAAGTCTTGAGAGTCTTCAAGACTGTCCAACATTTGCTACGTTTCTCATTCCCATCAACCGACTGACCTATTCCCTTCTCGAAAATACTCACCACCTTCATCTCTCTCACCTGACAACGCAAGCATATCAGCATCAAACGTCACCGGTAGTCAAAACACCGTTTCTTTCTTTTATCGCCTTGTCNATCTCTCACCTGACAACGCAAGCATATCAGCACCAAACGTCACCGGTAGTCAAAACACCGTTTCTTTCTTTTATCGCCTTGTCATCTTCTAATTAAACACCAAATTATCTTCGTCGTCATTCTCACTTCGTCCTTTTCTTGATCGGGGCTTTTTCTTGTCAAAGTCACCAGACTGATTTACTGTGAAATGCTCTTTAGCAAGTGCTGCTCTGATTTATCTCTGTGGACCAATCTCTGCTAGCCAAGGAAACATCAGTTGATAAAAGCTGGTGATGAGCTTCTAGAGGTGCTGGTGAGGTGTTGCACACACACAACTCGATTGCAGCCATTGTTTCCTCGTTACCGATTGTGATGTCCNTCGGGGCTTTTTCTTGTCAAAGTCACCAGACTGATTTACTGTGAAATGCTCTTTAGCAAGTGCTGCTCTGATTTATCTCTGTGGACCAATCTCTGCTAGCCAAGGAAACATCAGTTGATAAAAGCTGGTGATGAGCTTCTAGAGGTGCTGGTGAGGTGTTGCACACACACAACTCGATTGCAGCCATTGTTTCCTCGTTACCGATTGTGATGTCCACATTCGAGCTATTTTAAACGCAGTATTACTACCTTCGTCAACAAAGTTCGCCAGTTTTAAAGCGTCCTCGCAATTATCGGTAGTAGCCACTGCTATCTAGCACTGCTTTGCCAACAAATTGACGTCACTGGCGCTTTAATTGGCCCTTCTCTCTTACCAATTACTGTATTTGAAGTATCGGCAAAAGTACTCACTCAAGACACTCAAGACTGAAGACGCCAGGCCGCCAGGCACCAATCTCCGCGAAGAGGTACTGCTAATCTGCATTTCCACTCTTGCTTACTGACACCATTGATCATGCTCTTTTTCCTTTCTTCTGTAGGCCGCCTACTGTCAACCTTACATGTGTGCACAAAAGCTATCGGTGTGAATGGCGTTATCGAGCCAATGTCATCGTTGCTTCGTGTGCCTGCTGCTGTTGTCTCAATACTCATACTCTGTACTTTGACTACTCCGCACTCCTTAGCGCAATAACAATAACCACAACAAATGTACAGTCAACAGTCAAACAAGTGTCTTGTGGCCATTGTGAAGGACTTCTTAAAGGAGTTTGACGATGAGTTGACAGTGAAACGTGGACAAGTGGTGCAATTTGTGGGCAAACTTGATCGATACTGGTTCGAAGTTTACTGTGATGGCCAGACGGGCAAAGTGCCCATCTCCAGCTGTCGAGAATGGAACTCCCAAGAAATGTCCTCCATTCGGCTGGTGAAGGCATCCCAACAGGCGGCATTCGTCTCCAAGTACGACTTTTTAAATGACTGCGTCGAAGGCGATTTGCGCTTCTCTGCTTTTGAAATCATCATCGGTAATTTTATTTTTGAAGTTTAAACTTTTCAAACTAATTTATTGTCTTTTTTCGACAGGTTTTGAAGCGGCCAACGATGACTGGTGGAAGGGAGCTCGCCTGGCGTCAATCAAAAACAGCATTACCTCCCTCTCCGTAAAGGAGGAAAACTGCGGAATCTTTCCCTTGACTCATGTGTGGCGGCTTCGCGAGGATCTCCTGCCGGATAGTGTGTTCACCGCCAACGGCGTCATCATCAGCAGCTCAAATGATTCCAGCGAAATTGAACCGGCACTCGGTGTGCCTGTTCCTGATCCTCTTCCCGAGGCGACCGAGCACTTCTATGTGAAGGTGAAAAAGACCATGACGCCTCATTTGCGGGAGGAAATGGAGCTGCCGGAGATTGGCGAAATTCTCCTCGTCACTGCCATCCCCGACAAGCTCTACTACTTCGGACAGAGCCTGGACGGAGCCAGAGTTGGCATGTTTCCCAAGCATTTCGTGCAGGTTGAAGACAATTACGAACCACCACCATCACCACCAGCTCAGTGCGACCTACACTCGACCAACTCATCGACATCATCTCCCATTCCTAGCTCCAACCTCCCTCCGCCTACCATTCCGCCTCCTTCTCCTCCACACATATCAATAAACTTTGGAAAGCACCTCAGCGTGGACTTTGCCGATGGACAGGGGAACCGGCTGCCGCGAACTCCCGTCGACACACCGCCCTCATACGAGGCCGCCATCTGCTGTGAGCCCGTCTCCTATGGCTACGCTACGCAGATGTTCAGTGAAATTGAGTCCTACGGCAGGGTGCTCTTCAACTTTGATGCACAGGACGAAAATGAGCTGACACTTCGGGAAAGTCAAATTGTGCGGCTCTTCCGTCACGTGGACGACGGCTGGATGGAGGGCGAGCTGGACGGCAAAGTGGGCCTCTTTCCCAAGAGCTACATTGACATCATTGTCGACTGTGAGGCCAACGCTCCGGCTGACTTTGTGGCAGACAGCTCCACTGGTGGCGGCGCCAACAGCAACTGCCAGAACCAGGTGGTGGCCATTGACTACCCGACCAACACCCGAGCTCGCGTGCTCTACGACTTTGACCCGGAAATGGAGCAGGACTTGAGAGTGCGCGCCGGGGAGACGATTGTTCTGCTGAAGCACTTTACCACCACCGATTGGGTGGAAGCTTGCAATGCCTCGGGCACCGTTGGCTTCATTCACTTGAACTTCTGTGAAATGCTCAGCTCTGCGCCAGCATCACAACCATCACCACCGCCAGCAGCAGGGTCATCAAGCAGTCAGTCTCAACCTGAAAAGAGCTCCCACTTGTACGCCAACATTGACAGTTTTACCACTAGTACTGAGCAAAAAGTCAAACCTCCGGAACAGCAGAGTGTTGTTGTTAAGCCTCCTGCACCTAGTACTTCCTTTGCTGGCACATCCGCTTATGAAACGCCTGTTCCGGCTCCCGGCTCTTCTGAGCATGAGCTTTCTATTAGTAAGCCTCACCGGCCGGCGCCACGCGCTCCACGGCGGACAAACATCTTCCCTACATTCAATCAGTTTTTGATGAACGAAAAGCAGGATATTGAACAGTTTGAAATTGGGCCCGGGTCGAGTGGTGGTGGTGGAGGTGCAAGTGCGCCAAGCAATCAGGCCTCGAGCGGTGAACCTCAGAAGGGCACTTCAGTGCAGTCACTTGCCAGCAATAAGGTAAGCTGTTTTGCAATCAATGAAGTTTTCTATTCTTTGCTTCTCACTGAAAGAAAGTGACATGTAATTAACTGTGTTTTTACTCGCTATACACTACCCTCTTAGCGGCAATGTGTCATCACGGAGCTGATCCAAACGGAACGGGACTACTGTCACGCGATGAACGTCTGCCTGAATGTCTTTCGCGGCAAGAGCGCCGAGGCGGAGCGTTGCGGCGTTGACACTGAGAAGCTCTTCGGGACGATGAAGACGGTGGTGGACGTCTCGAAGAGTCTGCTGAAGCTGCTCGACAACTACGCAAACAATCGGCCCTTTGTCGACCAGCGAGTGGGAATCTGCTTTCTCGATTTGAAGTTCGAGCTACGAGACGCTTTCGTCTCCTACTGCAAGAGTCATGACTCGACAAGCATGTTGCTGCGGTTTTACGAAGGTTGGTCACTTTAGCGGGCAGCGCGCCTACGCTCACTGCACCAGCAGTCGCAGTAGCAGTCGCAAATGAGCAAACTGAGAGGCGACTGCTACTGCTGATGATGACTAATGCCGAGGACATTGATTTACGACGATTTCTTTTCTTCTTCCACTCTAGCCGACTCAAAGTCGAGTGATTTCATGCGGCGCTGCCAGACGGAGATTCAACGGCAGACGAACTGCTTCGACCTGGCCTCCATCGTCATCAAGCCGGTGCAGCGAATTCTCAAGTATCCGCTGCTGATCAACGAGCTGAGCAAGTGCACCGAGGAGGGCCACACTGACTGGGAGCCGCTGCAGCGGGCCATGGAGATGCTCACCGACATTGCGCAGAGTATCAATGAGAACAAGCGCCGGCAGGACTTGATACAGAAGTACTGCAAGAGCAGTGACACCTCCTTCAGCAGTCGCCTGAAGAGTCTCAATGCGCACACGGTGAAGAAGAAGGGCTCGCGCATTGCGAATCGCATCATCTCAACTCTCACTTTCTCCTCGGTTCACAATGTAGGCAACTTTTTTTCAAAATGAATTTCATCATTGGGCGCACAACGTTTAACCATTATTATTATGACCATTACTTTTGCAGGATGAAAACTACGATGCCGTCTTTCACAAGTTTCAAGGCGTCGACAAGGCGATCAGGTCATTTGTGAAGTGCATTCAGGCGTACTTGAACTC